CCCTGTATATAACAGTAAAAGAAAGCTGGCACTCTTTGATTGCGGGGAATTTCTACCTGAGTGTTAGGATCGGAGTGGGATCGGAGCTCTTCTGTTCTCTTATATATAAGATATAATGAAAGTCGTTTTATACCGCCCAGAGCATATAACGTAGTAATAACTGAAGTAAGTATATTATATGAGTTATTTTCTGACATTCAAACACAACACCACTTAATTATAGGAATATGAGTAACGACTTAGAGGCTGCTCTGCCGCGCAACTAGTTCTCTGCCGCTACACTCTTTTAGTCGAAAAAGGAAAGTTGTATATCGGTGTTTGTTCCAGTGTGAAGTAAACTCACATCCCTTATTACTCTAACGAAAAAACAGAATGGGACTGGGGCTTATCATACTTAACCCCGGAGCTAGTAATCAAAGTCATAGGTGTAGCAGACCTTCCACTCGAAATGCGGACTTGAGCTTATACTAGAAGACTGGAACTTGAAACCGGGGGTTTATAAACTTCCCTTTCCACTCCACTACTATTAATCCTCTCTTGCAACTATGAACTGGTTCCCTTGCCGACTTCTACTGATGCTACTGAGTTCAATGTAGTCGTTACTTGTCCGTTCTTAATGCTACCTAACGCTAAAGTAACTCATCGGACTAACGCCTGGCTGGCAGCTTTTCTTTCGATTTATCCGTTGTGCGCGCTTACGCTTATTGGCTTGGCTGCGAGGGTGCATTAGCGGACTTTTTCTCTCTTATGAGGCGCGTTGGTGCCAGGCAATAGGCAGCTTTAGTACTTAGTTCCGTTGCCCATTCTTTTTCTTCTTCTTCATATTCAGTTGCTAGTTTCGTTCTTGCGGATTATGACCTACCAGTTGCTTCCGCTTCACCCTGCTTGAACGCCTGATTCAGAGCTCAAGTAAGTATATAAGTAAGTAATATGACCTATGCCCCTATTCTATACAATAGACAGAGCATACCTTTTACCGACCCCAACAAGAATAGCAGATGACTTCCGAACTCTACTTTCAATTGGCAGCTAACCACAGAGGAAACTCGAACAGCATTAGTTTCAGAAGCAACCTCTCTTCTCTCCACGACTTAGCGCTGAAGAAGGTAATAATCATCAAGGCTATCCGTCTGATTTCTCGGCGTTTCACTCACGTTCAAGGGGTAGTTGCTGGGCGCTGAACAAGCTGTAATTGGAGTTTTGTTACCAATGAGAGGAAGAGGTCAATTGGGCTATTATTATCTTTAAGTAACCAAGCAGACGAGCTACTACTATACTCGCCACTATAAAGAAGGATTCTCTTCCAGTTTTCGATGATAGATAGCTGCTCTGTACAAGTAAAGTTGGAGCCTTCTTGCAAACCTAGTGCTCTCTTTAATTAAAGTAATAATGAAACAATAACAGAAGAATGAAACTAATAATACTCGGAATAGGGTAAGATGGAGCTAGGCATGATAGATCTAGTTAACTCACCCTAGTGCCCAAAAGAAAGAAAGAATCGCTGGAAGTAAGTTAAGGTTCAGCAACAGTGCCAGGAAAGGATAAGAGTTCCGTTATGGTCTTGGCGCCGAGATCGGGATATTCTGGAGTTTGGATCAGAAGTAGGTAAAGAATGTGGAGCTGTATCTATATCCAGAGTAGGAACTTAGTGTTGGCGACGCGTTCGAGGTTAAGTAGAAGTTCATCAACGAACATAGCGGCAGGGCTGTTCCACGGAAATTGATCCTCTACCTATGGCAACTGGCTACTAGAACTATGTTGCTTGTCTATCCGTTGCTTGGCCCTGTCTTTTACTGGGATTCGATTCCGCCTTCTCTTACGGCAAGAGAGAGCTTCAAAGGGCGCGGTAATTGAGCTCGACAACTCCGAATCACTGCAGCCTACAAAAGGACAACTACTCATTATCTTCTTCCTTCGTTAACTAACAACTACTCATTATCTTCTTCCTTCGTCAACTAACAACTACTCATTATCTGATTTTCCTTTGTCAACTATCTTCTAAGAGGTGCCAATTATTTGCAGGAACTGGAAGGAGAGTGTTTTCGGAATCAAAGAGAAGAGCGGATCTGAAAGAGCAAAGACCTATTCTTGTCGGTCAACAAATGAATGTGACTTGTGAATGGAGGCAGCTTTGAACCTTTCCTTCGAGTCAGGAGAGGACTACCTTACAGTCAATGCTTTATAAACAGAAAGATTATTGACATTCATATTGAAATGGCAGGGGAAGGGCTTTCCGCTCGTGTTAGCACAACTGCTTGTTTCTGGAACTCACTTCACTAACGCACAAAGTATTTCTGAACTCACTTCTGCTATTGTATTGAGCTTATTGTTTTCTTGTTCCCTTGTGCTCCTCTCCTTTTTGAAACTACCCGTGGTCTTGGCTTGGATAGACGTCTTTCCTCCATAGTGGCATGGCGAGGGGAAGGGGTTGAGTCGGACCATATACCCTACATAGAAGTGAGGACTGCGTCATTGAACTGAAATCCAATTTCTTTCCTTGTCAGCCTACCTTAATCCTTATCATCCTACCTTAATCCTTATCATCCTACCTTAATACTTGTAATCCGACCTATATAATAGAGAATCCTTGTAATCCGACCTTAATCCTTATCATCCTACCTTAATCCTTGTAATCCTACCAATAGAGAAATATGGTTTCTTAAGCAAGTGTTATTAGAGAAAATGCTTTGATGTCGATACAAGCAACTAGAAATCATCCAATGTGTAAATGCAGTATATAAATGGGCATGAGATACAAAGAGCAAAAGCTTATTCCATGAATTTGGGGCCTAAAAAACAGGAGATTGAAAGGATGTATGGCTCTTATCTGCTATATCGGATAGAATGATGAAATAAGAGAAATAAGGGTGTATGGCTAATAACTAAAGATATGAGGAGCTACTTAAATGGAATGTAGGCATACAATAAGAATGGAAAGAGAGTTGTTTAGCACTCTCTCATAACACTAGGCATGTTAACTCTCATCAAATGGGGTTCTCTAGTTTGTCATCTTCATTGCATCCTTGTTTCTCAATTCATATCTATGTTCCAAATGTAAGAACATGGCTTCTCTTTGCAAACTCGAAAAACTCTATTTCTCCTATTATTTCTCTTTCTTGTCCTTGAGACTAGTAGTGATGGCAACAACGAAAATGACAATGACAAAGTGGTGGAGCTGGATTTGTAAGAGATTAGAGATCCTATGATTTATTATAAGGAGAATCCGTAAGAGATGCTTGCTACGTGAGATCAGTAATAGAGGAGATGCTTGCTACGTGGGATGAAAAAAGAAGAAGAAGAAAAAGAAATGAAAAGTGGTAGTTGTTGGAAAAGTCAAAGATGCTAAGTGACCAGAAAGGTATAGGAGGCAGTGCTGAGCTACGCAACAATGAATGATATTGGGCGGAAAACTGCTATGGAAGAGTCGCTTTCACTCTGTAGTGTAGAAAGAGGTGCATAAGCTTGGTCCATCTAGATATCCTTGTAGAAAGAGGTGCATAAGCTTGGTCCATCTAGATATCCTTACAGAACCTAATGAAAGTACCTATCCCTGAGAAGACGGAAAATATGCTCCGTTAGTATATTCTATTGGATTAGTCCATGACTACGGATACTGCCCTCAACAAAGCTCAAATGGCAGGAAAAGATGCTTATAGCGGATTTCCTTTATTACATGACTCTCCTTTTTATGACATTAAGAATATCCATCAATATATATATATCTATGATTTCACACTTCCACTCCACATAACTATTTGATCCTTACTCCAAGTGTTCTCCATGATCTATTTTTCAAGAGTGACACTTTTACAAGAAAGAAACCATTGTTGACTTATAACTAGGCAAGGATCTCAATAGAATCTATTAGCCACTTTCTACACCTAAAAGAAAGAATCATGTAAATCCCTTACAATAAGCATCATACACTAGGCAAAATGAACGGCAGAGTTAGTAGTCTTACAAGTGAAAAGACAAGATACTCGCTTTCTTTTGGACATCTAAGAAATCTATTTGTTTCAAACAATCACCACAAAGCAAATACAAAGCAAACAAGCCTTTTGTCAAATCATGAAATTGATTAACTACACTAAATCGTCTTCCATTGACATGAAAAAGTGAAACACATCGTTTGTTTATACACTACTGAGTTCCATTAAGCAAGAATATGTTATGAAGCTGTGAAAAATGGAACTGGGCTCAGGCAATGGCCAATGCCTGGCAGGTTCCGCCCTTCTTTTTGCAAAATAGAAACTGTAAGTCCAAATTCCAGCGCCATTGACCACCATAGAGGGCTTAGGTGATGATATAGCTGCTTTTGAAACACTTAATCAATCAATCCTATCTAGAGAAGCGGAAGACTAAAGAGACAAAGCATTGGAAAGAAGAGAAGCGGAAGACTAAAGAGACAAAGCATTGGAAAGACTTGAAACCATCAGAGAAAGGGCTCCAAACCAAGAGAAAAGTGCATTTACTGCAGTATTACAGCAGATTGGAACACTTCGTCGACTCCTATACTAAATCATCCAGAAATTCTAAAGAGAGTGAAAGTCTAACATAGACACACCCCATACCTTCCTTATTCAAAACTACAGGTGAGGAGAAGCCCTAAGTAGAATGCTCTAGCAAGAAAACGGACTTGACTCAGATATTGTAGCATAACACAGTAGCACAGTAGAAAATGCTCTTTGAATTCATATAAGGAGATGATATAGTTGTTAGTAGTATCCTTCTTTCAACAAGTTCATTTCACTTGGACGTTAGAAGCACAATAGAAAGTCATGATTGTCAATTGGAAAGGCAGGCACTTACTTCCTTTTTGCTTGTTTCGCAAAGTGTCCTCCGTAGAAAGATGGATTTTGTAGCTATTGAGAGGCTGCACCTTACATTGAAGAAATACATGGGAGATCCTTCTAAACATAGGAGATCCTTATAACGGAAAATGGGTAGACTCATAGAGAAGAGAATTGGTAGACAAAAGAAAACCTTCAATCAAACGGAAAGTCAACCTAAGAGACTGCATAGGAACTATTGAACACCTGTTTCATGGATATGTATTGGGGGAACTTTCCTAGTCAACCACATAAGAGTGCGTGCTGGACCAATTTGGAAACTGTTACTTGCTAAGATATGACACAATCCATGAAGATTACATAGATTGACAACACATTGTAGAATCGAACTTGATGATCAAACTGCATTACTACCTTTAGTAACATTCATTTGACAAAGCTTCATAGTGTTTTCAATAGGGCTTCAGAAATCTCTATTTCAGAATGGGAAAGACATTGAGATTTGGAACTAACCTGTCGTACTAGCATAGTATAGAATGTGAGCTGCATCATTGTCATTCTCTGACTCTATTGCTCTCTGCCACAATATTACTTAGTCTATAGCTCTATACCATAATATTCTCTGACTCTATAGCTCTATACCATAATAATCAAAGAAAGAAGCTTCCACATTAGAAACAAATAAGACTAGTAGATTTTCCACATTAGAAACAAATAAGACTAGTAGATTACATACTAAGTATAGTATATATTGCTAGAAACAAATAAGACTAGTAGATTACATAGACTAGTAGATTACATATAAATATAGTATATATTGCAGTTCTTCGATTCCAACTATATCATTTTCTGTAGCACCAGCAATAGCCAACTTCTTACAGCATCTTCATAGTCCTCTCTATAAATAGCATAATTTCACTGTGACTGAAACAAAGCTATCATAGGGAACTTCACCACTATTATCAGAATGCAAACTGTATAATGTTTTCAAAGGCCCTTAATAAGTTCTTGATTCTAGATATTCTATTTATATTGGAATTCGAAAACCACTTCTTTATACTTTGGATTGATATCTCTATATTGATCTATATCTCTCTATTGATTTTGAAGGAAGAAAAACGGATACATACCACTATAGGATTCCATTGAGGATAATCATAGTGAATACAACCTTTCACTACTATAGGATTCCATTGAGGATAATAATAGTTTGTTTAATAGGAAAAGGATTACCTGAGAGTTTGTTTAATAGGAAAAGGATTACCTGCCTCATAGGATCTTAATCAAAGGATTACCTGCCTCATAGGATCTTAATATGTTTTTAATAGGAAGGAATAAGATTGCCATTCCACAGTTGTAAGTCAGTAGTTGTTGAGTTTCGCTATTCTTGTCTTCTTTGAAGCTATCTCTATGCGGTTTCATTGATACGGCCTACAATCTCAAATGAATGATTAGAGCAGAGCGGTTTTCAATCATATAAGATATAGCCTTATCTTGTAAGTAAGCATACTCTATGTTTGGTCGGTGGCGTTGTAACAGCACCCTTAGTTTGTTGTCAAGAAGGGCAAGTAGAACTCTTGGGTTTTATGGGAGGGACAGGGAACTTCTATAAACTCTCTTTACACTCATTCATCATACTAACAGTCAAAGTCACGGCATGGGGGGTAGGAATAAGAGCGAGAATCGGTGTGGTGCAACGAGATAGCGATTTCTCCTATAGATAGAAGAATATAGATCCGAAAACATACCAAGTAAGATGCGAACCGATCGACCCGTATCTAATCTAAGAGAAAACCCAAGTAGTGATTCCATCTATCGTTCAAGGGAAAGGGGAATGTATCGGCTTGCCTAGATCTTGTATTTCCCACGTAGCTCGTCGGTCAAACCAATGATTCTCTTATCTCCAAGTTTAGAGAGACCTTTTCCGATATGTAGTGTAGCGAGCTATAGGAGCCTATCATCGGGGCAGGGCTTTAATAAGATCAATAGGGTCTTCTGGTTTCTTTTGTTTGTGTCCAGTCGTCTTTGTTCTTATAGGCTTATCTTATCCGTGGGCAGCTCTTCTGGGGCATAAAAACACTGTTTTTTGCTGTTGATCTCACATCGCCTTCTTGTTCAGGGTTTCTCTTCCTCCGACTCCGAAGAATCGGTCAAGCGAAGCGGGCTCGCCTCGACTCACTTCTTTCTCTAGAAACCCCTCCGCCTCGACTCACTTCTTTCTCTAGAAACCCCCTATACAGAGGAGAGCAAAAGCTCCTGGATGAATATGTTAAGTATTCCCGACTGAAGAGAGCAAAAGCTCCTGGATGAATATGTATTGGATTCCCAGATTCATTCTCTTACTCATAATCTCAACCATGGCATTATCAAACAAAATCTACCATTCTTTTAGAGGGCTCGTAATGATCTTATCAAGGATCACAAGGTGCTGAAGTGGCTGGAGTGGGCGGGGATCCGTAGGTTTTTCTTAAAGGGATGCTCTAATCATGCATGTTATATATTGTATGGAAAGGGATGCTCTAATCATGCATGTTATATATTGTATTCTGGATTTCTAACTAACTCGAAACGCGCTTGTTAATACGTTGGTTTTCATGATTCTATGTTTTTTGATGTCGATTCATCCACACTTCTATTCCTTGTAGAGCTTTGCTAACTGCTTGCTGGCTGGGAGCAGTATGAGCGGTAACGTCCACGTACGGCTCCGTGAGAAGGTGGACTGAAATGGCCTTGTTGTACCTCACTCCCGTCTTCAATGGGGTCTGCTCTATTTTTTTTAGGAGAGTATGCCAATATGATCTTAATGAGGTGCGGGGCTTTGCATCTTACATTCGTTGGGCTTCCTAGCGTCCCGGCATTTTCGTGCAATAAACCCCTCCGGCCGAAGACTAGTGATAGGTAGTCCCGCTACGCTTTCGGAAAAGGGTAGCCTAGTGTGTCAGCACAGCAATGAACCGCGGCGAACCCTCTTACGACCCATCTAAGATTAGGGGGGATATCCTCCTTTTTTGTGACCCTTTGACTCTTCCACAGACTTCTACATGTACCGAATGCTCATACGGGAAAGTGGGTCTTGAAGGGCTCCGAGAATTCCTTTCTTTCTCGTCAACTCTTAGGGGGTGCAGACACACCTGCGCGGATTACAGGTGACGGTTACAAGAATGGCGGGGAAGTTAATAGTACCCGACGACATTCCGGGATGAATGTAGACCCATCGGGCAGGGATAATCATTCAAGTCCTAGGGGAGGTAGCGACACCAGTTTGAGCTGAGGTAAGCCCTATGAGTCACTGAAACGACCTATGAAGGCACACCCTAAGCCCAGCTTCTCAGAGCAGCTATTTCCAAATACCCCTTACCCTTCGTGAAGCTACAGAGGAGACTAGACTGGGCTGCTCGTCCTCATAGAAAGGCAACCTAGATTATATGTTAGCCTATCCAAATGGAAGGAGAAGGTCAAGAAGGGAAGCTCCAGGGGTTTTCTCTATTCTTTCTCGAGGAATAGAAGGAGAAGTTCCAAAGGGGGGGTTTTTTCTATTCTTTCTCGAGGAATAGAAGGCACTACAATAAAGATAGACTCCTTTCTCATCGCCCCCTTTACTAATAATGACTTTCAGGGTTCTTGAGATTATAAAGATTGACATTTGATGTTCCATATTGTACATCTTCAGCAGTACTTTCTTTTCATTGTATTAATGGTTCTTTATGTTAGTTTAGTCCTTGGTTCCTCTATTGATTGACCCGCTACAATACCAAGCAGGCCAAGCTCGCTCGCTTACATAAGTTGGTGTTTGTGAACTGACCGATAAAAGCCAGAAACCTACAAGCAAGGGAACAAAAAAGCCACTAATCCAAATATTTTCTAGTGCACACACCACCTATTTCTTATATCAATTCAGAATCTACCAACGCATAGCTTGTTTTGAGATACAATTTCGGTTTAGGTCATATTTTCCGCTTCTAATCGTTTGCTAGCTGGGCGCACTAACGCTTTGCTGGAGGACATTATGACTTTCGCCATTTTCGTTTACACTACCTATTCGTTTGTAAGGTGTCGGTCTTCAATGCATACTTAGATGAGGGTTGCGCTTGTTGCGGGAAGGAAAGTAACGTTCGGGTGCGAGTCAAAGAGCTGTTCCTGATCCTGATCGAGGCCTCTATAAGAAGTTTCGGCAAGTCAAAGAAAGATCTATTATAAATAAGACCTAATCTTGCTTTCCGTGCGATATCTCCTTGCGTCAGGTCTATCTCTCATCTTTCAAGCTTTTTCATGGATCATAGAATGTACAATATGTACTTCCATTCCTTTACCTATTCCATTCCCATTTTCTCGGCGTTAGAGTTCAAAGTAACGGCAAGTCTCGTTTTCTTAGCTAGTATTGAAAAGTCAAGGTTCGGTGCGGTGCTATAGCTCAATGTAATCGACCCTTGCTTGTGTTTAAGTCTTCATCTTTAAGTAAGCGTTAGGTCGTGGAGAGAGAGGTCTTTCTTTAGTGCTAAGTTCATAAGTGCGCTCGGGGTCTGGTATAGTTTTCTCATTCTTTTCGCTAACGGGAGTTGGTGTAAGTTCCATGTTCAATTCCGGGGGTCAGTTCCATGTTCAATTCCAGCTTTACTCGGCACTTACTGAGTTTCGAGTTTACAGTCAAATTGATCTACTCGTTGCGCTATCACTTATTTACCCACGTAGCGAGGATCTGGATCTACCCGTTGTTGCTTGCTTCCTTTAAGAACCAATATAACTCCTCAGCGTTAGCATAGTTTCACATGGGCATAGGTTAGTTAAACGACTCGAAATCAGCCCAACTCACATATATGCGTCAACCTCTTGTCCCGCTCTAGTTCCTCGAACGAGGTGCAAGAGAATCCTCAAGTTCCTGTTCTTGTGTTGTCGACAACTTCATCAGCAGTAAGAGAATCCGCACCCGATGTGCTTGTAAAGTAGACCAGATCAGATGTCCAAAACAGGACTCGCTTCTGCCCTTTCATCACCAATGTCGGCATCTAGGTTCGGTGCTTAGCTTTACCTTCCCTTTGCTAATCGGGGCTTATGAAAGACATAGAGAACCAGGCTGCTGGCTTGGGGATCTGCTGCTCCTGCCTTTTGGGAACAATAATAAGGAGTTTCTTTCTACTCCCTCTTAGAGTGCAAAGCTAGTACAGCGTCGAAAGCCGATCTGATATGAATTGAGTGGTTTAGTTCTGTGCTTGTGTGCCGCATCTCTTTCCTCCGTTTTGTTTGCTGTATTTCAACATAGCTCTGATAGAAAAGACATATGAGTCGAGCCGTCGTACATTCACATATCTTCGTCTAGACTCTCATGTTCGCCTTAATAAAGCTTAGGCATTATCAGTTAGAACACACAAGAAAGTGGATCTATAGGGCCCTTCACGTACATCATGTCTCAGACAACTCTATCTGTCCGGATCGCAATAAAGTAAGTGTTACTATTCCGAGGACGCAGAAGCCCTTCACTTAAGTAGTAAGGCAAAGGTTCTTTCTAGCTTGGGAGCGCTTGTGCGTGGGCATCGTTTCGCCTTCTCCTCGCTCTGGACAGGAGCGTTAATGGCCACGGGGAGGGAATAGCAGTTGGATGATAAGGACACCCCATTCATTCCTTCCTTCTTTACTCGGGAAAGCACGGAAAAAGTCCACAAGTACAGAGTGAGAAGCTATAGCGGGTTCTTACCTTGAATTAATAACGGCGAAGGAACAACAAACAAGAGCTTGCGAAACGGCTGCTACTTATTGCCCGGCGCGAGAGAAGTCAACATTAGCGATGGAACTCCCATAAGCTTAGTTCTTATTGACTCTTAGAGATCAGGATCAGAGACAGCTCGAAAGAAAGATGTCTTTGCGCCTCGAAAAGAAGAAGGTGAGGAATCAGAGTCTCGGATCTGGATCTGCAATTCAAGTTGAGGTCGACAAAAGGGATGCTATGTCTTTACTTTGTTTCTATAGCATAACTCGCTAATAGAGCTACACTGTAACAAGCAAAGGCTTTCTTTCTGACTAGCAAGGGGACCAGCAAGCTCCGTTCTACTTTCATCTGTTCAAGCGTCAGGAGTTCTTTTTCTACAAACAATATATATTCCACAAAAGATAGAGATTCAATTGACAGAGGAGAGTCAGGTCAGAGCAGCAATTCCAGTTCTTGTTTCACTTACTTAATATGGAAGTGGGTAACCAAAGAAAGAGATAGGTCACTTCACACTACTGGTCCAGACTTATTAATGTGTTGCCCTAGAAGTCTAAAGTATGGTTTTTGAACCCCGCACAAGGGATGCAGTTAGGTCAGATGAATAAGCAGTAGAATCCTTTCTTGCTGTAGGATCAATACCAGAAAGTGGGGTTCGGGTTGACAACTTTCTATTGTTCGAATGCTTACCGGAGTGCTTAAGTCTCAAGTAAGCAGGAAGTGGGTCTTCAAATTCCAGTGGAGTTGTTGGCTTGACGTCTAAGTCTGGGTTCGGTGCTCATGCCCACTCACTATGCGGTTAAGTTTCAAAGAATGGATCTCAAGAATCCCGTTCCTAAAGTGTTGTTCGGGCGTAAAATGCATAGCAAGGTAAGTAGGAGAATTTCCATGAGCGCGCACACACAAAGAATAAGAAAGATATTAGGTGTAAAAGGTGTAGCAAAGGCCAGTAGGAGAGTTTTCCATGGGTGAATGTTAATTGGATTAGTTTACCATCTATTACTTAATGTACTCGAACTCCCCGTTAGCTTGTTGAATTGACATGACATTGAATAGAGTTTCACTACAACTACCATTTTCTATAAGAAGGTGACCAAAGAGCATAGGTAGGTTCTCCACTCCAAAGAGCATAGGTAGGTTGGTTTCATCTACTCGTATTCCAAATGTATTCCAAATCACTGAATGGAAAAACGAAGTACATAACTACTGGATGATAGACCTAAATTCCTTCTGAAGCGCGTTAGTCCGGTGAGTTAAGAGCAACGTCGTCTGCCCGCCTCAAGTGGAGAGTCAAGTTCCGTTCCTTACCCTTATACAGCTCTGCTTCTTCAGGAGCTTCAAATCCTTATTCTTCTCAATAGGAATATGCTTCCAAAGCAGATGGATTCTTTCTCTCTCTCTAAGACACCTTGGGCTAAGGGCGCAATCCAAACTATTATGGAATAGGGTCGCCCTTCTCATATGTACAAGGTGAGTTCGCCAAAGTGTGTTAGTGAGTTCGCAAATATGACTTATTAGTAACAGCGATACAATAAAATATTCTAGTCAAAATGCATTTGAGCCGTCAATCCTGCTGTTCCCAGGTAAACACATTCTTTTCCATTCTTTAGTTCGAGAGGAACAAGCAACGTGAACTCTATAATGAGTACCATTCTCTGGTCGACAAACGGATGAAACTCTCACTAAACTGTCGTATTCTGCCATTAACTCTATCCTGACTTGATACTTTACCTCGGCATTAGAAAAGAACTTGTTTTGTCGCATAGATATTCTTCACGTAAGCCAACACTCACAGTAAACTGCCAACCCCTCTAACTAGCTTGCTACAACAGGGGACACTCCATTGAGGTACCCGAAAGTCTCACAGCAGCTGACACTCGCACACAAAGAGACTCGATTGGAAGTGAAGATCCAGCTCCTTCCCCTTTGGTTGCAGCTGACTTTACCTCTGCTCGCGCTGACCTGACTTGATACTTTACCTCAGCAGTTTAGCATTAAGTCTGATATTTTAGGTTAGCTTAGCATTCTGTCTTGGCAATTCTGGTCATTACAAGGCGGGACAACACCCTTACTTTCAAACTTCATATTAGATTCCTTCCTTTCGTCAACACCACCTATAGCTTACTTGGCTTGTTCAACAGATGCGCTTGCTGCTGACTTGAGATTGGATGGATTTTTCCCTTCCTCTCCTTATCAGGCTCTTAGCACCTTCCCTTCCTTTACTTAATAAGAAGAATGCCAGGTTTGAGGGCAAGACTTCACTACAACTTATAGCAATGGAACGACTAAAGAAAAGAGTGATATACTATCCTAAAGAATAGAACCTGGACCGGCGAGGCCATAGCTTCGAACAGGCACATTCCACTAAATATTATATAATAAATAGATCTATAAACTGGGACTTCCCCGACAGCTATAGGGCTTCCAACTACTAACTTGGGTTCTGTAGTCACTGATCCGGATCTTTGCTTTCCAACCTTACTCATATAGGAGCGAGAATGCAATCACTAACCTGCTCTTAAACTATCACTACTGCCTCGTAGCCAGTCCCTCTTACCTTGGATTGGAGTCAAACTACTAACTATCGGAATCAAATCAATACAAATCAGAAATGGAGCTATAGCTTTTAATACTATACATAATAACTAGGCTTTCACTGTTGTCTTTGAACCTGTCTTTCCCCACTTTTCGTCTATGAACCATTCTCGTTAGTTCGGATACAGATTTGGACTTGTTAGATGGAGCCTACCTCTCTTTTTTTCTTTTAGTCTCTGTGTTGTGTTGCTCCTTGCATGCTTGCTTGTTAGTCAGAGCTTTCCTCTACTCATTTGAAATCTCCCTTTCCCTTCCTCGATTCTATCTCCCCTATCCTTGGAGTCTGGCTTGCTAGGCTTAGCTTGTCACTACCCGATCTCAGTATATCTATCCTTTATCTCAGTGACCTATGGAAGTCAAACTACTCAAACACCACTGTAATAAGAAAAACACAAAATGAGTCTTTCTTTTCTTAGTTATTGCTGCTTTTGTCTTCGTAGAATTACTCTACGCTGCTTGTCCTAGTACTTCTAATTCTTTTACTTATGGAGGGGAATGCAATAAAGCTGCTCGAGACTTAAAGCGAGGAAGTCCAGGCTCACATCTGAACTAAGTAATGTTAGGAGCAGGCCTAGTCGCCTGTCCAGGTAATACGGAAATCGGTAAAACAATTAAAGAATAAGAGAAAGTTAAGTATGATTCGAATCGGTGGTCTTAGCGTAAAAGAAAGGATGGTTGGCTTGGAGCGAACACAAGCAAGGCTCGCGGAAGCTAGCAAGTAAGGACCGACTCCTGTGGGTAAAGAAAGCAAGTTAGGATATTAAGAATAAGAGACATCAGTGAGAGCCTTGTTGTCAGCAGTGAAAGCCTAAGCTTAGTAGTAAAGTACGAGAAGCAGTAGCCCCATTCTTATAGGTGGTGGTATCAGACTCG